CAGTTTTTTTGGACTAATTGCTTCGTGCAGCTGTTTCAGAACTGGTAGGAAACCAGGACATGTATGAGGCTTAGTGGCAGTGCCCGCAGCCCCTCAAAGGCTGTATTTTCATAACAAGATTTTAGAGATTATTAAAAAAACTTTAAAACTCAGTGCAACAGAAATATACTTCAAAAAAAAAAACAAAACAAAACAAAACAAAAAACATTGACAAAACCAAAACCCAAACACAGCTGCTTCCCTAAAACCCCCCAAAGTGACAAACCGCATGCCAAAGCCTTCTCTTTCTCCTTTGTCAAGATTTGGTATGGAAGCTGCTTTATATATTTCAAGTGGATTGTTGTATTCTGCTGACATCTTTATTTAGTTTCTGATCCACATCAATACTTGCTAGCATTAAAACCTCCGATATGTATTCAGTACCATGTGCCATCTCTAGCCACAAACACTCCAAAGGTTTCTTCCCTTCCACAATCCCTTTGAGATCGCTATTTTGATCCCATTTCTCCCAGCGGAGTTGAACGCACAGTAAGATCAGCTGGCTGGAGAGCTGTTATTTTAAAGGTTGCGTTTTGCTGTTAATTGGTGCACGACAGGCGCCTTGTGTAGCAGCTCCTGGCAGTGCTACCTCAGGAGGCGGCTCCCAGCGGCGCCGGGCGCTGCCTGCGGAATTCCAGCGTCTGTGCAGGCGTCCTTGCAGGGGAGGAGCTCCCGGAGGCACCAGCTCAAGCAAGACGCCTTACAAACTAAAGTTCAAGGTGAGAACCCTATTAGGTGCTGGCTGATTTAAGAAATTGTTTGGGCTTTTGGTTTTGTGCTTTTTGGTTTTTTTGGTTTTTTTTTGTCTCCAGTGCAGAAAGCAATACTTGGTGAAATAATCTAACCTGGGGCTTGTAATTGCACAGGGTCACAGTCTGATAGTTATGACTGCTCTCAGCATTTCTCCCTCTGCTACAAGGGAAGACAAGAAAAGGGAAGAAATAAGGCTATAATATTTCCTATTAAAAATGGCAATAACTGCGTTTTAATGCTGGTCACAATTGATATTTGAGGAAGGGAAATCTAGAATGAAAACAGTGATTGGTGATGTCCCCTCTCAGCAGCAGGGAAGCTCAGACTGTGCCTGGTGATGCTCAGGTGCATGTCCTGGTGCCCGTGTGCTGCTCCCAGCCTGTGCTGGTGCCCGTGTGCTGCTCTCAGCCTCTCCTGGTGCCTGTGTGCTGCTCCCAGCCCCTCCTGGTGCCCGTGTGCTGCTCCCAGCCCCTCCTGGTGCCCATGTGCTGCTCTCAGCCCCTCCTGGTGCCCGTGTGCTGCTCCCAGCCCATCCTGGTGCCCGTGTGCTGCTCCTGGTGCCCGTGTGCTGCTCCCAGCCTGTCCTGGTGCCCGTGTGTGCTCCCAGCCCCTCCTGGTGCCCGTGTGCTGCTCTCAGCCTGTTCTGCATGGCACAGGGCATCCCTGGCTGCCTGGGGCTCAGGAAGGGCAGGTGGGGAGGGCCTGAGCTCTCTTGCCTGAACTTATGGAGATTGATAGGAAATTTCTTCTTACCTGGAGGAGTCTGTGGTGGTGCAGTGGGGAAAGGGGAGTGCCATCTTCTCCTGCTGAGTACAGGGACAAACACCTCGCACCAGGCTCGCAGAGCAGTTTTCTGAACAGCAGGGAGCAGGACGAGAAATCAAACAGCTTTTCCTAATACTTTGAAATTTGTTACTGTTACTGAAATTTGTTACTGTCTCCTGTTTTTCTCTTGTGAAGGTGTTTTTTGTGAAACCATTGCCGTACTCCTCCTGTGGTGCCTGTAGAAAATGGAAGAGTGATTAGGCTCCAGAGAAATGGCACCTATGCTGAGCTATGTGGCATTTTTGCTCTCTTGATCCACCTGGTTGGCTGTTACTACATGCTTTCTGGAGGAAAATCTGTGTTCTGCTTCTGTGCTGAGGACAAGAATGTCTGAGTCCATGGATATGGTTCCTGCAGGCTGCAGTAATTTATGTAATAACCATTAACTGCAGTGGTGCTTGTACCTCAGCTCAGCAGGGATGGATCTCTGGGCCTTTGTGGAACTGGTAGTTATAGAAAAGATGCAATTTTTCTTTAAGGAAAAAAGAAAGGTCTTAGATGTATAAACTCCTCCAGCCAAGCACTGCTTGCCCTGATCTGGATAGGCTCATTGATTTTGATGGATCCATGCTAACTCGTGCCTTCTAAGGATTTGACGATCAATTTTTATCAGCTTTACAGCATGGGATCGAGGAAGAATGTTTTAGACGTAGCAGGAATGTATGACTCAATTTCTTCTTCTTTTTTTTTTTTACTAGCTGTGAATGTGTTTCAGGTGCCCAGCACATTCATGCAGAGGAAGGCAGTGTACTCTATTTCACTGCTGAGGCTCTGACTGGTAGAGTCAATGCACGCAGTGATTTGGCTCCCCTGGGCCTTCTTCAAGGGGCAGAGGCAGCCAGTTCATTGTCTTGGTGAAATTCTCCTTTGGGTGCTGCTGCTCTGCTTCCTGAAGGCCCTAAAATATGGTTAGAAGTAGTAGTACACAATTCTTTAAATGTTTGTCCTCATTTCTTGAGTGTTCCTCCTGTGCCTATCTAAAGGGCACCAAAGAATGGCTGTCTTTGTGTCTGAATAAATATGATTAAGTCTTATGTACCTGATGTCTTAGTGAGAATGCTTTTAATCATGGCAGCAGCATATTTGGACCAATATATGAGTATTTATTAAAAAAATAGCACACACCAAAAAGTCAGATTAAATTATTAAATATGTGGTTTTACTTGTAAGGATTTATGCTGGTGCAAGATTATTGTTTGCAAATCCTTCAGAAATCTACTGATATATTCTACTAAAATTATTGCTTTGGAATAAAACAATAGGAATGGGGTAAAAGATGTGAAAAAAAATGAAAAAAACACTACAAAAATGTACTTAAAGCCAAGTTGTATTTCTTTCTGTTACCCATTTACTGCAATTTTGCAAATAATGTCATAAAAATTAGTTCTTTGGGGCAGAACTATTTCAGGGAAATGTTTATTTCATGAGCAGCAGGAAAATGAAACCTGGCTCCTGCAGGGAGGGGAGGCTGCCTGTGCTGCCAGGGCAGCTCTTGGGCAGAGCCTGGGTCAGCAAATGAATCACTTGGACTTCTCAAAAAATGCTTTATAAACTTCTCTTTTCAGCATATATTTAAATGTGTTTTGTCTGTTTGAGGAACTTTTCTTAATGTATTATGATTGTTTTATGCAGTGACAGAATTACTGGGACTTTTTTTGCCCTGTAATTTTTGTCTTTATTAATTTTGAGAGATAATTGAGTGCCATCTCATTTGAATTCTCATCTATCATTTTAAGAGATAATGTTTACTATATTTATCCAGAGCTTTCCCTGTACTTTTTCTTCTTTTTTTTTAGGCTTTGTGTCTGCTCTCTGGATTAGAGCCTCTGCTCCAAAAAGCCCATCCTTGACAGGGAGAAAGGAAGCAAAAACTTTTGGTCATTCTTAATTTTTATTTCCAGTTATGTCAAAGTTCCCTCCTAATCCAAAAGGATTTGTTCAGAACCCATTTTTCAATCACCAAAACGTTTGTCTCTGTTACTTCTCTGGTTGATTCCAGGTTGAGCACAGCAGGGTCTGGCTCCTGGGCTGGGTTGTGCTTGCCACTGCACCCAGGGAGTTCTCAAGCAGGCAGTGATAAACTCCTGGGAAACTTCATGCAGCCAAATCCATGAGTAGATCTGAGGCTCTTGCATTTGCTACTTTAGTCTATGAAAATAAAGTTCTGTATGATTTGGGGGTTTTTTGGGACGGGTTTTTGGTCTTCTTCCTTTAGAGAATCCTCATCAGCATCTTCCTGAGCTGTAAACTCTGGAATTTATTCTGCTCAACCGTACTTCAGATGGATTCAAACCAGAAGCAAAGAGGACAGGAAATGGTCCCCAGCACCTCCCTGTGCTCTGCTGGGCTCTGTGCATAGGCTCTGCCATTCTTGCAGCCGTGCATCCCAGCTGCCTGCAGATCACATCTGCCTGATGATTTCCACAGCAACTTGGGCACTGAAGGCAGGAATATGAGCTGGTAAGTGAACATTACCCTCCTTTCTTCTCCTCAACTTTTCCTCCCACTGCAAGGAGGGTAATTATATATGTTCCCATTTTGTACAGTGCTTGTCTAGGACAAACACTGCCAGACTATTTCAGTTCTCCAAACCCAGTTCAAACACCTCACAGGGATCAGCAGAGTCCTGTGTGGATGTGTTGTGGGGGCATGGTGGTGGAGGAATGAATGTGCAGGATGATTTTCTGGGACTGGGTGTAGGCATGGCATCCCTTGGAGGACATCCTCTGGCTAATGTTACATGGATGGAATCCAGTGAGAAATCCAAGACGGCTTTTCCTGCTCTGTGCACGGAAAATGTTCTCTGGGGTGGGCTGTAGGGAAATCATCAAATCATAGAGTGACCTGAGTTGGAAGGGACCTTTAAGATGATCTCGTTCCAAACCCCCTGACTTGGACAGGCACAGCTTTCCCTGGACCAGGGGGCTCAGAGCTCCATCCAGCCTGGCTTTAAACACTTCTAGGGATGAGCTGTCCACAACTTCATTGGCTCCTCTGTCTTTACCGGACAGCCTGAAGAAGTGGAGACACAAACACTGAACTAAAAGCAGAATCTTTATATTCTCAGAATAACCACAGACATCATAAAGCAGGATTTTGGTTCTAAGGTGCTCGTTTAGGCGGTGGGCACGCTGCAGCTTTGTCTCTGAGTGCTGGCTGAGCTCTTTTCCCTCTCTCCCCAGCACGGATGGGTGCAGGTCCGGGCGCTCCCCCCGCGGCCGCGCAGCGCTCGGTGCCGCTCCCGCCGCGCTCTGCCGGCGATAGCCTGGACACAGACACCCTCTGAAGTCCCGAGCATGCTGTGAGCCTTGTTTTATTTGCTGCAACAAGAAAAGCCTTTCTTTTAACCCGGCTTCCTTTGAAGAAGTAACTCAGGAAGCTTCATGGCCTCTCAAGGTAAGTGCATCTGTAGTCTATATTTTTAGATCGTGTTTACAGAAAACCACAGTCTTGTGCCTTCCCAGCAATCAGCAGTCTGATGTAAGGAGGGTTTCAGGATAAAACCACATCAGTCAAAGCACAGTTGTTTTGTCTTCCTTTAATTTTTCAGCATCCAGCATCCAAGAGGCTCCTAAGGAGACTAAAATCTATAGTAGGATGTTATTTGAATAAAATATATTATAAAATGTTAGTCTCTGCATTCAGTCAGAAAATTTAGTCTTGGTATCTTGGTGCTTAAATCTGTTGGTACAGAATGCCTGGCAAGGGTGGGTACTGAGCCAAGGGTGCCACTATTTTTGCACACTTCTTCCCTATTTCACTTCGAAAATAGCATTCAAAACTGGCCAGAGACCTGACAACCCCCCATATGAAGAATAATAGCTGAAGAATAACCAAATTTAATCAGAATACTCCTCTCTGGGTGTGTCTGTCACGTACTGACTTCAGCAGTAGCCATTGATTACTCAGAGGAATGGGCAAACGTGCAGCATTTGATCTAAGCAGCCTTCACAATTCATTTTCTCCAGGTTTGCAAATGCTTCATCTAAGCAGAAGGATACAAATCTTTTTCTCTTGAGTGCAACTCCATGGAGGTCATTCTGTAGGCATGTGCAGAGGCATGTGTTGGCCCTGGGAGTTTCAGCAAAAGTCTCACTATGTTTGCCAAATGTTTCTCCCTCTTTCTTGCCCTGAAACACTCAAGCCATTCTGCATTAGAACTCTAAAAGGTACACAGGAGCAGGCAGGTTTTGCAGCCTTGTTTTACTCTTGCCATATAGAGTTTTTTGTTTTAAAATTTGTTTAGCTTTAGCCATTTAAGAGAAATGTGGTTTTGCATATTTTTCCTGTATATCAGTTAGGAAAAATGGTTAAATAGTAATGGTGTGGAATATGGTTTTTAGTATGAAGAAACTGACAATTCACCTCTTTCAGGAATATGCAACTCTACAAATTATGTTTGTACAGAATACTCACTGTATCATATGGTAACTTTTAAGGTTCTCCATGCTAGTAATGAAATGGGAATCATACACAAATATAGACAAAGTGTCAGACTAGCTCAAATTGTCATTAATATTTAATGTATTTACTGTTTGGTTTTTGTATAGCTTAAAATTTGACAGGTAGAACTGCAATTTGTTGTCTTTTTTCCCTCTTTATTATTCAAGAATAACACTAACACTGGGCTACTTCGTGGCATTTCATGTAACAACAAGAGTTACGGCAGTAACAGAACCCTGTGAGGTAAAATGATGCAGAAGAGGATATAAAATATTTATTACCCAGTTATACATTTTTAAAAGCCAGCAACAAATTCAAAGGGGTTACTTCTTCCTGTGGTCTCAGACTTTGAAAGAAAGCAGTGGCTGCAAAGACAAATTAAGATCAAAATATGATTGAATGATGAATCTTTCACAGCGAGTTCAAATAATACTAAAAGATCTCATTTAAACTCACAATAGCAAAAAGAGATTCAGACTTAGAGCCAAAATTTCTTCTGGACCTCAAATCCCATTGTGTCTAAGTATTTTCACATGTGATAGAAATGATCAGTTTGGGGACTGCTTTCCTGCCAAATCACAGGGGCTCAGCTCAATACAAGGATTTGCCATTTGGATGGGGAGAGCTTCAGTTTGCTCCTCCTGGTTCCTGCAGAACCAGCGTTGCTGAAGCCAAGGAACAGTGTACCTGGAAAAACTAGCAGGAATTTTTTGATAATCCAGTGGTTAAGGTGCTCCCTGTGCTGTGGGAGAAGGTGCCTGTGCCTGTGGAGCAGAGTGGATTTTCAGGTGCCTGTGGCAGTAAATGCTCTCATTGCCTTCACAGCCCTGGCCAAGGTCCCCATCACTGTGCCCTAAAGGACTTCTTGTGGTAGCAAACCAGAAAACCCAGCATAATGATGTCTGATCCATTCATTAAGATAATAATGAATAATACACTATAAGAGGCTGTGTAGACTTTGATATCAGGGTTGTAATATCCAGCTTGGGGAATCTGAGATCCCTGGGAAGGTTATCTCTAATTAAGAGAAATTATGGGTGCCCTTGGGATGCTGGGAAGCATCTTGCTGGGAGCCAGCCCTCAACAGCTCAGGACACACTGGCCCATGGGGCAGCTCACAGGGAGCAGGGCTGGGCCTGTGCTGAGGGCTTCTGGCCACCCTGAGTGTGAGTCCAGGCCAGCTCCAGCCTTGCCACACAGGCTCTGTGCTCACCAGCTGTCAGAGCAGATCAGGTGCCCTCCAAAACCACATCTCCTGATTTAACTTCATCTGCAGTGATTCCTCTTTGCAGTGATTCCCCTTTGCATATCCCAAGGCAGCTTTATAATCAGTGCTCAATGTGTTGGACAATCAGGAGATTCCTTTTGGGTCCTGACCTGAAGTACTGATACAATCACATACAGAATGATGTTATTGTTCCAGCTTTGATCCAAGAAGATGCTAGCTACTCCTTGGTCCTGATATTTCTGCATTTTTTCTCTTTTTTTTCTGCAGAGTCTCAGGGACAAACCAAACTAATCTTTAAGGATTACCTCCCTGGTTCTTCTGACACTTCTCAGCAGAATACACCTGTTGAACCAACAAGTCTCTGGAAGCAAGCATCACACACTCATAATTTGCCACCTGGTCTGGAGTACCTGAACCAGGTCCTGAATCTTTCTGACTGTTAGAATTGTTATGTTTTCCTTTTTTGTTGCTTTGATACCCTGGGGGATGAGGTTGTTTGGGTTTTTCCTCTTGGGGGCAGGGTAGGTTGAGATGGAGAGGCTTTTTTGTTGTTTGATGTTACTATGAGATAAGGAACATAGGAGAAAGAAGCTTGCCATTCAAGTTATAGAAATTAGATGAGCATGAGTCTGAGTAGCTACAAACTGGCATTAACTCTGTGTGAGGAAGAAAGTGCTAAAACCTGAGAGAGGAAAATGCTTGAAAATGGAGGCAGAGAAGTGGATCATAGGTGGGGAAGAAAAATGAATGCTTAACTCTTCTCCATCCTACTGCTAAACATGTGGCTGTCCCTTTTGCTCTGGGAAATCTCAGCTCCTGGAGCTCAGAGCACTGATGGTCTGCAGCTCTGCTCCACTCTTCCATGCTGAGTAAGGTGTCACATGCCCTGTGCCAGGCCCCCAGCATAGTCAGATCATGATTCTGATACACCTCTGCTGTGTTTGCATTTTGGTGATGCTGGGAAATGTTTACTTCACTCAAGATATGTATTTTAGGCACACATTTCTGCTAGTTTTGTATAGAAGCAGAAATTGAATGTATTTTATATTTGGAGCTAAGTTACCTAGATAGTAATGAAATGGAGAACTCTTCAGAAGCAGTCTTTCATGTGGAGTGATGAGTTTCATTTCAAGATGCCTGAGCACAAAATGATATGTGTTGTCAATTACACAAGCATTTGCTTACAGAGCGTGGAAGCTACATTTTTTTAGTCTAAAAGAGATTGTGCTAGTCAGTACTTGGCAAGTTACATATTCAGGCTCCTGTATGAACATAAATTGCACTTCAGATTTACCCAGACAGGGCAGGCAAGCAAATACTGTCACTCCATTTTATAGAAGCTTTGCATCTGATGTTAAGACAAAGGAGCAGGTCCCTCTCAGAGCTACAGCTGGAACTGAAGACCTCATTCATGCCTGTTCTTGGCCTGTGCTGCAGCCCTTGCTAAGGATTCTCAGTTTTCTCTGCAGTCTGAAAAGCGGGAAGCGTGTGTGCAGTGCTGCTGGCTGGCATGTTCCCACAGCTCGAGTTTCCATGTGCTGCAGAACCTCTTGGTGTGTGATGCTGGAGCCACACTGGCCCTGTGGCTAATGAAAGGGGCTCCTTCAGCATGGGTGGAGGATAGGATGGAGGATAGGATGGAGGATAGGATGGAGGATAGGAGAAAGGAGGTCCCACCAGCAGGGAGAGGGCTGCCTGCAGAATGCATGCGGGATTCACAGCTGCAGGTGTAATCCCTTCGGATTTATCCTCATGGACTAAGAGATTTTCACAGAATTAAATGCTTGAATGAAGATGTTTCTAGCAGAACTTGGAAATTATTTATGCTACTGGGAAGATTTCTAAAAGACTGTGTTTCATTCTGGTGCTGTGTGCATTGGGGAAAAGAGGGTCCAAACTCTTGGAAACAGGCACAGAGAGGTGCCACTGGAAGTGCACAGGGAACAGAGAACCTTCTTTAAAACAAGACTCCATCTGTTTTATCTGTAGACTGAAAACAGCAGTATTGGAGAGGGAACCCCATGAGTGCCTAGGAGAGCAAACAAACTGTGGGAAAGAGACATATTTGATTTATAGAATTTTGTTACTAGAAGAAAGATTATATAGAGAGTGGTTGTGAATAAATACAGAGTAACAAATACAAATTACGTTCTCCAGCAGGATTGGGCAAGAGAACTGGATAGATTTGAGAAAGATGAATGTATTTCTCAATAAGACCATGACATGTTTGATTGTGATACAAGAATCCAAATTTGGTCAGTCTCAGAGAGATCCCTACAATCTTATTCTAAATAGCAACAAATTATTCTAAATTGGATGAGAGGAAAGGAAAATGTATGTCCTGTAGGTAAAGGCCAGCCAGCAACATTCCACTCTGCAGATCCACACCCAGAGTGAGTACAGGTGAAGGAATCATTCTGATCAGCTGTTTGAGGTGCACCAGAGAAGGGCAAAAAACTGCTTCTGCCTCAGCAAACACATCAGCTTTCTATGATGCTTTAATAACTTCCTACAGAAAAAAGTTACCTAAATTTCATTACTGTCTTCCAGATTACAGCCATAGCTCAGAGTAGTTCAATGACCATAACAAAAATCAAATGAACTTTTTCCCACAGCAGGAATAGACAGGTAGAACCTTGGAGAAGAATGTTTTGAGTATTTCAACTGCATGTTGTGCCACCACTCAGGTTTAACTACTTTTGTAAAAAGCTTCTTTGTTTAGACTTGGTTAGACTGATTAGATGTAAATTTGATGCCCACAGAACTGAATACTGAGAATTAGCTGTGTATAAGGAATTTTAACATATCTGAGCTGAAGGGGACCAGACCCTTGTTAAGCCAAAGGGCTTTGAGTGCTGTCAAACCCAAGTGCAGAATTCCCTCAATCCACAAGTGCCCCAATAAAAATGCATCAGAATAACTGCCCTGCAGAAACCAGTGAAAGGCAAAACTGGGATAGCAAGTGCTACTGCTGTGTTGTCTCAACATTGTTTATACATTGTGCACAGCAAACCAATCGACCAAAATCACTCAAAGCTTTTAACAATTCAGGGTCATTAATTTTCTTTTCCCTGTGAAAGTCTACATGGGAAAAAGAAATCCATGTTAAAATAAATACTAAAATATTAAAATAGCTCTACCATCTTTAACTTTTTTTATTGTCTTTCCATCAGCAGAGCCCTTCCCATGAGCTCCAAGAGCTCTCTCATGAGACCCAAACAACAAACAGCAAAGATTCTTGGGAGAATATTTTTACGTCTAAATATTTTTTATTATTTCAATTACTGGCATGCACATTTCCGAGATTAATGAAAGGGATAAAGAAGTTCCTCCTTTTCCCAGCTTCTCCTTGCAGCCTGAACTAGCTGCAGGAGCTGACTAGAAGTGACAAATGTCTGCAACAGTTTGAGTATGTACCAGGCAAGATTTATCAAATTTAAAATATCCAGGCTCTGGAGAGCTGTGCCATGCTGGTCTCAGAAGGTCGCTGTGTGCTTTGTGTCTGCAGCTGTGAGTAACAGCAAAACCCTGTGCCAAGCGTTTCTTCATCAGGAGTTTACAGAAAAATTACTGAAAAGAGATTGGTAAAGCCTAAAACTGTCACATAAAACAGGCATAAAAAGTCACATAAAACTGAAAGGTAGACTGGAATTAAGTCTTGCTGGTTTTATAATGCTAACAACTGTTCTCCACGAAAGAATAATGTTGGAGGGACGATAAGCACAGCAAAGCAAGGTATCATGGCAAGCAGTTTTTCTCCTGCATTTGTAACCAGCTCATGGTTACAAAGATATTTGTAAAAGACATATTTAGCCAGCTGAGTGTTTCATTGTTGTTTTGCTCATTCTGGCACTCTGGCATGACCATTGGCCAGATTCGGGGTGCAGGGCTTGTGTTCCTGAGATCAGAGCGTTGAAGCTGGCTTGTGCCATCCTTGGCATCCCCTGCCTGCCTTGCTGGGCTGCTCCAGCAAGGTCCTTTGGGATGTGGCCACTGCACATTTTGACCCTGAGCCCAGGATCATTCACTCCTGTGCTGCCATGGTGCCCAGCACCAGCCTTGGGTTTGGGGTGAGGAACCTCCCCTCTGACAAGGAGAGCAACGGGAGCAAGAGTGAATTCTGCTTTCTGCTTCTTTTGTCTGCCTTATTCCCCCAGTGAGGATTATTTTTCTTTAAGCGTGTGGGTGAATTACAAGGCACCTAATGTCGCATTCCTCAGCTATAATTTCATAGTGAAGTCCAAAGTGTGACTTGAGATATCCTTCAGGCACAAAACCTGTGCACCTGTGTAAGGAAAGAAATCTTAATCACAGGGGGATGAGCAATAAAAATAGACATGGGACCATTAGCAGCTCCAGACCTATCCAAGACCCACCATCTTGTTTATTTTTTTTAAGCAGCTGGACCAGATAATTATTCATCAGCAAGTGGATCTTCTGGAAGGTATGGTGCAATCCTTGTCACCCTTTAGCAGTGCTGGTACATGGGTGTCCCCAAAAGCCATCCAAGTCTTGCCCCCAGCTCACTGAAGTGACTGTGAACCCTCCTGCTGCCCTGTGTCAGGCTGTTATGCAGTGATAAGGTGGGGAAAGCTCACTTTATTGTTTGCCTGTTCTGTAGCAAACCACTGAGGGGTGAGTAGTCTCTACAAATGTCCCAAATTCTCTCCCTCAGACACTTCCCTCTCAGTGTTGTTAAAGCTTAACCCTCTTTCAATGGAAACATTTATCTAACAATAAGTAACATACTACGAGAAACAAGGCAAAGAGAGAAACGAAGGACAGAAAACATAAAATTAAGCAAAAGATTTTATAATTATTTAGTTTCTCAGAATTTCAAAGTAATGAACAAGTATTAAATACTGTAAAATTTTACTACCAGTAAAATACTGTAGAATGTATTTCTCCCATTCAGAATGGTTTTGGCCTGATTCTCAAATAACCTTTTCACTGAGGTGGGGTAGTCTCAGGATGTTACTTTTCACAGATGATAAACCCAGAAAAAGCCCAAACCAAAAACTCAGGATCTGAATTCTCTGTTGCGATATGTACTTTAGTGTACAGCAAATCAAACTCTGAATTGATTCCTTCAAAATACAGACCTGGCACTATTATTTCCCTGTATATTTTCTTTGTGTTGCTACTTCAAAACAATTTAAAAAAATCTTTGTCATAGACTTCTAAAATAAATGCTCATATATATATATACACTAACATTATACTAAAGTAATAACAAAGATTATATTAAGTTAACATTCTGCTTGTTTTGCTTTATTAGCCATACTTGGCACAGAGACCTCCAGCAAATACGAGATAAAGAACCCCTTGGGACAGAGAGTTTACTTTGCAGTGGAAGAGAACGGCTGCTTTGACCGCAAGCTGTGCTCGCCCCTCCGGGCCTTCACCATCAGCATCGCGGATAACGCTGGCCGCGAGGTGATCCGCGTCATCCGGCCCCTGAGGTGCACCAGCTGCTGCTTCCCCTGCTTCCTGCAGCAGGTGAGGGGATCCCCAATGCCCTCTGTCCCAGCATCTCGCTGGGCAGCTCCTCCAGGGTGGCAGGGAGCAATTCAGGAATTCACAGCCCCCTGTGGGTGGACACAACTCTTGATGAATGAGTTCTGTTCCCTCCCTTCCTCCATCCTCCCTTCCATGGGACCTGGCTCTGCCTCCTCCCTTCCATGGGACCTGGCTTTGCTGACATTCCACACAAAGCTTTGGTGTCTGGTGATGTCTCTCCAGTCAGGTGACACCCCAAGATGCTCCTTGCACTGACACAGGCAGAGATCACCCACTGAACTCCAGGACGGGGAAGGATGGAAACTTTGCGAAGGCCACTGGGGTCTGGGGGTGGGACTTGGAAGCAGATCTCTGAGGAGGCTGAGCCTTCGCTCCATGCATCTGCCTCTTCAGGGCCACGTATCTCTGGGAAATGGCAGAACATGGAAGTAAGCTGCTTGGAGTGAAAAATGCAAATCCCATAGAGCATCAGGTCTTTCCTCTGTATTTTTTGACTCTCCTTTATTCAGACATCTTTCTTGTGTTATGAAAATGGTTTACAGGTTAGCTCATCCACTTACCTTCTTAGCACTTATCCTTGACAGGATTTTTAAAGAAAAAGTCCTTTGGTAGTACAACTACTTAAAATAAGCTTGTAGGACACTGCCTGAATACAATACATTTTTTTCCCAGTTTATAGCTTTTATAAAGTCTTATTATATGTAAGATGTTGGTTTCTGGTGCAGCTTTTGAGTTTCGTATTGTCCACTGTATTTAACAACAGCGTTAGACAGTTCTGCAATATCCAGTTCCATGTTTGGTAAAACGATGTTACTGTATTCAGTAGATAAATATCTTGTCATTATATAAACAATACACTATCATGGAAAAATAGATTAATATAAAATCAGCTAAAACATTTTTTGTTTTCTTTGTTTGCTAGTTAGAAGTTCAGTCCCCACCAGGTACAGTAGCTGGGTATGTTGTACAGAACTGGGACCCTTTTCTGCCAAAGTTCACCATACAGAATGAAAGTAAAGAAGATGTGCTAAAAATAATTGGCCCATATGCAACCTGTGGCTGTTTTGAAGATGTTGACTTTGAGGTATGTTTTGTACAAGTGTTAACAATTTAAAAGTTTTACTACTTTGAATAAATTTCTCAGGTGAGATGGAGAATCGGAGATTCTTGAAGAAACCCTGAACAGAGTTTTCTGATGTGAACAAAGTGCTTTGCTTTAGTTAAGAATCATAAAGGAATTTTTGGGTTTATCAACTTATTAACTCATTAGCCAAATTAGAAGACTCCAGTGGGTATTGTCTGAAATTTCAGTATACTGTAAGAAACATGTAAATTACTGCATAATTGAGAACATGCCTGACCCTGAGAGGACAGTGGTCCACATCAGTGGGGCTAGGAGAATATAAAAAACAGGAGAGAGAAAAAAACCCCACAACTCTGTGAAAGAAAGGCAAAACTGTCATAAACTTTCAAGATTGCTTTCTCCCATTTTTTGTCCGCTCTAAAGATGCTGATATTTCCAAACTTGAGACCCTTTCTTGCGTGCTACTCGTAAAGGGAAATTTGACACTAATAGAACATCGCAGCAATAACAATAAAAGGAGAACCTGACAACTATAGCGTACTCAGCATGTCAGGACACAGTCATTAATTCTGTGGAGATGTCATCAGTGTGCACTTGATTTGTTTACATTTATGTCTGTTCCTGTTTTTCCTTTGTGCAGGTAAAAACTCTGAATGAGATGACAACGATCGGCAAAATTTCCAAGTATTGGTCTGGATTTGTCAACAACGTCTTCACCAACACGGCCAACTTTGGGATCCAGGTTCCTGTGGATCTCGACGTGAGGATCAAGGCAGTCATGATTGGTGCTTGTTTCCTCATTGTAAGCGTGCAGGTGGATGGGCAGATCTATAGAGCTGTGCAGACCAGGGCCAGAGGGGCCCTTGCTGTCAGCTGAGAACTACAAAAATGAAAATGCGTTGGAAAACCAAATCCAGTACCTATAAGATAAATTAACTAAAACATTTTAATTTTTATGTCAGCTTTTTTTTTTTAATGTTCTTAAATTTTTGTTTATTAAACTGTTTAAATAGTATTACACATGCAGTTCAATATTTTGTATGGCAGAATCGAATCTCAACATACATGTCAAACCTACCAAACTCCCCCAAACCCTTTATTGTGTTTGAACAAGTGTATGAACCAAAAAAAAAAAAAAGTTACATTGTTTCTGATGGTAATTTCAAACCAATTCAACAATTCTGTTGAGTGTTGTATGTAAGACCTTCAGGTCACATGAAAATTCCTACAAAAATTCTCTTGTGAAGATAACCATAAGAACCATATGAGCAATGCTAGGGGTAAATATTCGGTGCTAGGGGTAAATATGAAGTTAAGATGCATGTTTTCTAGAATTAGAAATTGATATTTTCTGTGCAGCTCTTTTGCCAATGTAATTGTATTAACATGAAATGGTTTCAAAATCCTCTGTGATACTTACATCAAGAGACAACCAAAATGATAATACTATTTAAATTAATTCAATGAAAAGTGTTTGCTTTAAAATTCCAACAACAAATCAGAAATTTTGCTTTTAGATAGGATAGAAATGACAGTTAAGATTTTGGATTGCCCCCTCCAAAACTGTTTCTCAGTGGCAGCGATGAAAAGTGATTGACTAATATAAATACTTTATGTAACAAAAGCCTGCAAGCAAGACTTTTGATAGTAATTTTTGCATTTTTGTGCCTTCCATATCTAATGCATAGTTTGTTTATTTGTAGGACTTAATGTTCTTTGAAAACTCTTTGGATGGATTATAACAAGATGACAGAAACAATGAAATATGCAGAATGTGTTTCAGTAGGTAAAAATTAACATAAATTTATCTTCTTGCTTTGAAGGCTTATACATTTCTAATTCTTTTTCATTTTCTTCCAGAAATCGCTTGAGCTTTGGACATGATTTTGAACTGCAAAAATCCTTGTTCCTTATAGGAAAAGACAGGGAGCTAATGATGATGTTTATTAAAAGATGTCTCATGTAAATAATAATTTCCCACTTATATTTTTTATAATATAATAGCTAAACACATACTTTTCACACAGAGCACTGTTGCTTTGGAACAGTGCTATTCTCTGCTTTCTCTTTTGATGTTCCTGTATGGGAAATCATGAAAGATTAGATGAAGGCTTGCAGCATCACTGATGAAAGTCTAAGTTTAGAGAAGCCTTTGATGTTTTGCAAGTGCTGGTACCAGTTTCTGACCACATGAGGGTGTGTTCTGGGGCTTTTGCTTTTTTATAATTTTAGAAGTAATTTTCTGATTTGTTATTTAATTAATAGTAGCAAACTGATTTGAAAGTAACAAATATAAAGACATACCCGATGGGAAGCTGAAGTTGTTATCTGTTTCAGTGAGTTGGAAGAATGGAAGTTACATTTTCTAGTAAATTAATTTTGTGACAAAGATTGTTTTAATGAGTGTCAGCCAGAAATTAGACTTCCAGCCCTACACTTGGGAATGTAAGTTCTACTCTGAAAATCTGGTCTTCCACTATTTGCACTGAAGGCAGGCCATAGATAAAGTTTGAGTGGTGGTCCTCTGTGTGCTGGAGGCTCACAAATCACTTCCCTTTGTACCAGCCAGGGTTAAGGAGCCTTGCTGCCATCTGCTCAAGGCTTTCCTGAAAAGGTTTGTTGCTCTTTGTAATATCTGATGGCTGATAATTTTTCATTCAGACTTGCCTGAGGCCATCCTGGAATAGAATTATTCTTTTCCTTTGGCAAGCTCAGGTATTTTCTGTGATGACGGGGCAGAAGGAGCTTTTCACAGTTCAGCAGTTTCACATGGTTGTTCATTTCTGCAACCACACCTCAGTGTTCCCAAACAGTTCCACTAACTTTTGCTAATACAAGCTTCCTTTGTAGGAATGATATATATGCAAGACATAAACAGATTTTTTTGCTGTTGTTGCAAATTGTTTGCTGTATGATCTTGCTTATGCCTCTGAAAATCTCTCTTCAAGAAGCAAACCAGTAGCATAAAATATTGGTGGCAAAACCAATTGCTCTCATAGTCACCAGTCAAGTTTCTAAGGGCAACGTTTTACAAATCACTAGAAATGCTGGATTTTTTTTTTTTTTTTTTTAGTGTCAACCAGTAATTCAATTCTTGAAAACAACCAACACATCAACGGAAAGAGAGGAGATAATGAATAATTCATAAAAATGAAAAAGAGCTAAATTTATCAGGTGATTACTTCTCAACAAATATTTAGACTAATTTTAAATTAATGTTCATGGATATGAATTCAAACACAGTGAAGTCAGGAAGTTGCAACTAACGTTCCCATAGTGAAATTAACTCAGGAATGCTTATAGATTTAAACAGTATGTTTTAGATTATATACCACACTTAGGTATTTATACAGATTTACATATGTCTTGAAAATAATTGTGGTTAACAAGCTCTGACAATCATCATTATCTGTTAACCATTTCACTTCTGGCTCTTGCTGTGACTCATAGCAGTCGCAATCAGTCTGGGCGAATTGGGAGCTCGCAGGGAACCTCTGCTGCCACCTTTCCCGGGAGGAAGCGCCCTGTGAGCTTCGTGGGCCAGAGGCTCCCTCGTGTGGAAATTCCGGAATTTGCAGAGGAACACAGCATTTGCAGAGGAACACAGCATTTGCAGAGGAATACAGCATTTGCAGAGGAATACAGCATTTGCAGAGGAATACAGGATTTGCAGAGGAATACAGCATTTGCAGCGGAACACAGGATGCTTTTTGCTGTTCTCACACTGGTGCCGTTCTGTCAAATGCAGCTCCCACATGCCTGAATGTAGACTGAGAAAAAGAACCAGATTATTTCTTTTTTGTCTCTTTAAATCCCTTTGCCATTTTAGACAGAAGTCACTGCTATTGTAGCCATAATCTTGGCTCTGGTGCACTGTTACTGAGCTGTGTGTGGCTGAACACTCGACTGAATTCATTGCCTTAAGCTGAGCAGGATCCCCACCTATCTTCCAGTTTTCCCCTGAAACTTCCAGTCCTCTTCTGGCCCCTAACAAGCCAAAGATGTCTCTAAGCAAATGTGTCCAGCCTCATTGAAGTCAACACCAAATAAGGTTTTATTTACCCACAGTGCTGAATTTGGCTGTGAGCATCCATGTATATACCTTGTAGGTAAGCAATATGTGCATATAATTTACAGTTAATTCCAACCAGATGATAACATGGGATTTCTCACACTTAGTGACTTTGTTGCTGTTTTTTGTGTTAATCAAAGGCTTTTTGCTGTTAATGTGTATGTATATGAGTATGTTTGAATGCCTCTGTTTACACTCAGGGGCAGCTTCTGGGACATACAAGAACAGCTCATCCCCTGGATAAAAGAAGCAGTGGGGCTGGGGCAGCTCTTGGTGCTTAGAGCTCCCTCAGCAGGCTGCTTGACCTCTGTGCCACCCTTCAGCATCCTGGTGGAAATTCAGTGCCACTGCCAGTGCTTTTCCAGCTGGGAGATCACTCCTCTGAACTACAGCTGCCACACAGGGCAGGTATCCACCCTCAGCCTGGATTCTGCATGGTGTTGCTAAAGAAGAGCTAATGTGTTTTAAGGTCTTAACAACCTGTAGCTCTAACTAATTACTCTTTCTTATGAATAGCAGTGTGTTTCACATGATGGGAGCTACATATGCTCACCTTTCACAATTCCCAGTTCCCCCATGGGCTAGGAGTGGGTCCCAAAGGAGAATTCAGAATCTCCCAAAGGGTCACAATGTTTTTCTAAAGCAAACTCATGTCCTGGATATCATCTAGAAAGAAACATGATTGCTCTAAAGAAGCAGAAATTTTACCTTATCCAGCCAAGCAAATATTTCTGATCAGTAGCCAAACTGTAAATCTGTGTAGTTCACACTCCTTGTGTTCAGTAGATGGCAGCAACAGCTCATTATGACAGTATTTAGCTTTTCACACATCATCCTTTTTTCACCCAGGATGCTGATGGAAGTTCAACATACCTTTAACCTCTAATTATATTCTGCTCTTAAATGAAGGATTTTATTTTCTCTGTCTGATATGAAGCCTTTTCCACACAATACTGGATTATCTTTACTGCCTGCATTTACAGCTGAACTATTAGTTATTTTATGAGATCAGGGCATGGGCAGAATACTGTCTACCACAACGTGAGCTCCTCTGGTCAGTACCCAACCTAGTCTTTTGCACCTGGAGCATCTCTCCAGCTTCTGCAGGTGGGCAGAGGAGAAGCCCCAGCCCCAGGACACTCCCCAATGGCAGAAACAGAAGGTGCCAGTGTAAAGGAGAGTGTTGGGTGGTGCTGTACCTAGAAAAGTGGAAGGTTTCTGTGGGAAAAAGTCATGTCATGGTGGCCTGTCACTGTGTGCTGGGGCAGAGGGGGGGAATCCACTGTAGTGCCACAAACCCAGGTGGCACCAGCACGTGGGGAGAAGCTGGTTTGCCCGTGGGAAGATCAGACACTTCCTGTAAGGGAGTGAAGACACAGAGTTGCTGTAAGTTCTGAGATTCTTTGGTTGTCTGATAATTTGGTGGATGCAATAGTACTTCTCTTCATAGACTTTGCTGGCTGTATTATATTAAAAAAATATTTTTGTGTCAATTTGGTTATTTGTTGGATTAGACAAACCGAGAAATGATCCAAAATGGACATTTTCTAATAGAGTTGTCTAAATGAAGCTGTTTTGGAAAAAAAAACAACAAAAAAACAAAAGAAATTTCCTCCTTCTGACCCTCAGTTGTTGTATTGGTTTCTTTTAAATTAAAATGGTATGTTCTGTGTTAGAATTGTAAATCCTAGTTTAATTCAACTCAAGGTGAGTATTGAAGGAAAAATTACCTGCAAGTCATTTCATCCTTGATGTGCTTTTCCACTTTAAGATACTCATTTGAAGGATTTGTTTTTCGCTGTTCCAGTCACATTAGGTAAGTGCTCTATTTACACTATAGAAAACCCATACACAGCAACAACCAAACCACGAAATATCCTGCAAGCTTCTGTTACAGACAGTGCTCTCTGAGAAACACCTGTTTCTATCTAGAAATGACCATGGGCATTTGCTCTTTCTACCCCCTCCAGATCATAGAACCACAGAATGGTTTGGATTGGAAGAAACCTTAAAGATTACTGAGTTCCACCTCCCTGCCACGGGCAGGGACTCTTTTCACTAGACCACGTTGCCCAAGGCCCTAAAGGAAATATCACAGTGCATGTGTCAAGGTCCAGTATTGCTGCAAAAGTCTTTTCTTAGTCATCTATGGATTGCTTGCAGAATCTTGGGTACATTTTGGACATTATGACTGTATTAATTTTCTATCCACGTGTCTTTTAAGCAGGTGTCATGCTAATGCCCATTTATACCAACAAGAACTGAGAAAGGAAATGCAGCCTGGGATCAGAGCAAGGATTGCTACTAGAAATACCTTGTATGTTTCACACTTTTCTAGAATTCAAGAGAAAGTTTTGAGCCTGTTTTATTTAAAAGAGAAAAAGTCCTATTAACTATGCAAATCCAGGGGAGATATTTTGGCTATTATGTGTAGGACGGTGTGCTGAGTGTATAGGACAGGATTAAGAAAAGATTTTAAAAAACAATTTGTTAATAATTGATTAATTAATAATGCAGAGGACTTTCTGTGATAAGCTGAGAGAGTTGGGGTTGTTATGGCACCTTTCAGTACCTAAAGTTGCTACATGAAAGTTGGAGAGGGACTTTTGGCAAGGGTGTGTAGTGACAAGACAAGGGGGGATGGTTTTAAATGGGAAAAGAGGAGGTTTA